TATTTATTTGAACTCCTGATCCTTCCACAAAAGTTTTGATGCGGCTAGCTTTCACATGTCTCACAGGAAGGCGGAGAATGTGTAGGGGAGCTTCTCAAGTGAAACAGATGAAAGTGGATGGGCTGGTTTTAGACAGGCAACAAGCAGCATGCTAAGAAGCAGGATAAAAAGGACATAGCACATGGAGCGACCACCAGTAGCTAGGCTAGAGCTGACGTGTGGATGACTCTTAGTGGAAGCAGTAGAGAGAAGCCAGACACATAGGTGTGGACAAACTGTGAAGGGCCTTAAAGCCACTCGTCCCACGGTTATAATGCTGGCAACTTTGAGATTCGTCGTGTTTTTTCTTTTTCCTTTAGATGTTCCTCTTGGACTAAACACTCCTAGTAGGGGTAGGGGAATCATTTATTTTCTATGTCACCCCTACAGTGGTGCCTGGCAAAGACAGGGCCTCTCTTTGCTATTTAAACTCTGTCAAGATCAATGGCTATCACTGTCTCTGAGTTCCCACCTCTCAGATAATTTTTATTGATCGAGGAATAGAGTATTGGGGAGCAGGTGTTACTAGCAACACAGGAAGAGTCCAGCTATTTTATCGTGTCCTGAACTTCAAGTCTAGGTCAGCACCAGCTGCCATCTTCCTCTTGGAGCAGAGAGCTGGTAAGGCCTTGCTCTCAGTCCACACTCCACATTTTTACTGAGAGTCTCTTCTGTGCTAAAAGCAGGAGAAGCAGCAGTGAAAAACTGTGGGTTCCCAGAAAAGCTTGAAATTCCCGAGTATTAATAAAGTTTCTTTGAAGTATTAGTGAAGAGACAAAGTTTCTTTAGTATCCAAATCTTGTTAAAAAAGAAACCTATTATCACCCTGCAGGAGAAGTTTACATACTGTATTCCGGTGGAATAATGCAAGTATTAGCATTCTATTGTAGTATCTCTGCAAACCACAATAAAATAGAAGTGGTTCTGTAGAGTCAGATTTTACTAGTTTTAGATCTGAGAGGTTAAGTATTAGTCTGCTCTCTTCCCAAATACAACTTAGTTTTAATGAAATGACTGTTAGGCTTGCTTACTCTTCAATGCTGCTTGCTTACAACTAAAAATAAAAAAAAAAAAATCTTAATGGGCCTGTAAAATCCCTGAATTCCCATCAGTAGCTGTGTTTGGATTGCAAAATAAGCCTTCCGATTCTTCATAGAGCAGGGTATTTGTTTGTGTGGTTTGTTTGTTGTTCAACTGCGTTAATAAACAAGCCCATACCCATTTTAAATTCCGTTCAGTCCACTGGAAGGACATTCAGTAAACAAGACTAAGTTCTATACAAACCTCAGTTTAAAGCATCAAGGCTCCAGGTGAGGGCGATCCCCAAGGGGCGTGTGAGCAGTCGGGAAGAGCGTACTAAGCAGATTTACCTTTACTGTACACAGCACAGAAAGTGAAGTTGGGCGGCGGGGGGAGGGGTGGGAGGTGGGACAGTGGTTTTTCTCTAAAAGCACCTCTGGACGGCGGCGGGACCAGGAGATGGAGAGTTTTGCTCATTAAAAGAGAACGTGAGTGACAGTGACGTTAGGAGCGGGCTGCGGACGTGACCGGTAACGAGCAAGACGGCCGCGTCCAGCTGTCTTGCGGAGCGAGGTCCAAGGTGGTGCTAGAAGGGCCCAGGAAAGGGTCCGGGGTGGGGGGGTGGGGGGGTGGGTCCGGGGAGCCGGGGGTCCAGGGGGTGGGTCCGGGGAGCGCGGCTATGGGAGAGGAGGCGCGGGGCGGGGAGGCGGGGGGCCGGGCTCGCAAGGAGGCGGGTCCGAGCCGCCCGGGCCGGACGCCCCGCGGCGCGGTTTTCAGGTACGGCGAAAGGTGTCCCGAGTGGGTAGAACCCTCGGGGAGGGGGAGGGCGCAGGGACCGCGGGCTCCTCCCCCGACGGCTCCGCCCTCTGGCTCGGGACGCGGCGGCCGCGGTGCCTGGACCTCGGGACCCCGCGGGTTCCGGGCCTACCGTCCGCCCGCTGCCTCCCGCCTGCAGGTCCCCGGCCGGCTACAGCACCGACGCGGCGCGGCGAGCACAGGTGCGTGCGCAGGCTGGGAGGGGGCGGCTCAGGCGGCTGGGGCTGGCGCGGCCGGGGGCGTGCGGAGGGCGGTGGAGGCACTTCCGGTGGCGGTGGCGACCCCTTCCGGGTCGCGGCTTCGCTGCGCGACTCCTACGCGTCCGCCCGCTCGCCGCTCGCCAGTCTCCGAGGCGGAGGGCTCCAGGCTGGGGAGCCCGTGCGCGGCGGCTTCCCGGTCGCTGCTCTCGCTGGTCCCGTGCCAGCGAGGTCGCCGCGCCGGGGAGG